GTGTGTTTACTGTAAATGCAATATGCCTTATACTGCAGAGGGACATCTAGCAGTGAGACATGGAGACACACCTAATACAACGCACTATACAATACTACTACCAAGTACAGAGGGGCGTTGATTAGTAAGCCGGATATTTAAAGCTCAGCTTCACAAAAGCTGTTGGTTGTTGTTCCGCAACGTTTGAGTGCTGCGGTTGATTGTATTATTCTTTATTATCAATTCATCTCGAGTAAATCTGTGATGGATCTACTCGTTGCTTAATCAATCATAAATGGCTTTTACAATTCACCACGACCAAAATGAGCATATTCAAAGATTTAGGTCAATAAAGAAATTAGATTGCAGTAATTAGTTGATTAACTGTAATTTCATGTTGTCGATATTGTAGAATTTTACTTGCTAAAAAAGCCATTGGAAATGTCCTTTGAGAAACTGACAGCTGTTTCTGTTTTGTTTTTCATAAATTAAAAGCAGAAAGGTGTATTCATGCAGTACATAATAAACAGCGGCGGGTAACAACGTGAAGCTGTGGGTTTAATGCTTTTGATTTGAAAGCCATGTTACGGCTAAAACAACAGCCAAATACAGCCAGAGAGATTAAAAGGTTTATAACGTGGACATAAACTGCACCGTTAAATCTGTGACGCTGTTAAATCTGTGAATCTGTGATCCAAAAAGGATGAAGTACGATTTGTACAATTTTTCAAATACTACTTCCGTGACGACACTGAGCAAAACTAATGAAACTGATATTAGCCCCGGTCGAGCTTGGTGCCAATTAGCAAACGTTAGCATGCTAACATGCTTCACTAAGATGGTCAGCATGGCAAGCGTCCCTGCTAAACGTGCACAAACGTGGCGTGTTCGTGTTTTAGACGGTGGAAGCTGTTTGCAAACGAGTTTAACTCACACACTCATCTGCTACACCTGAGGCGTTTTATTTTGAAACTCCACAGCTGGGGAGCAGCAAAGAGGGGCGAGACCACGGTGTTTGTTCTTACAGTTTTCTAGTCTTATTTTAACCACCGTCGTGTTGAGATTTGGGTTTGCATTTATTTTTACCCCTTTTTAAAGCATTTTTACTCCTTTTCAAAGTATCTTTGAAGGAGTTTTTTTGTGAAGTGTCTCGAGTTGAAATTGTTCAATTTTCCCACCTACAGTCTTGAAGGGCCTCAAAGATGGAAACCATATAAGTGTGTATTATTTCAGATTAGTAATTGAGGGAACAGACGTTTACAAAGTGACATAATTATGACGTCATCAGGCTCTCAAATGGTCCTCGGCCTTTACAGACATCAGAGTCGCATTGATTGTCAAAACTATTGCGTAAGTGCAGCGTATCCTACATGTCAACATTACGTCAACAACTGTTGGTGTCAGCGAATGACGCGACTGTGAAACAGAGGACTGGAGGATGGAAAATATTCTCTGTAACCGTCACGTTTTTACCGAGTTTCAGAGAAATATTTGAGGCCGCAGTGAAGCTTCGGCCTCGACGACATGAGTCTGTGTAGGTGACGGCGGAAGCAGCTCTGGACTCGACGTCTGTTACAAGCTGTCGTGAAACCAGAGGGAGCGGAATCCGTTATGTAACCCTTCCCCTCTGCGTGTTATTTGCTGTGTCGTTCATGCACGATGTGCTCCGCGTTGGGACAAAATGACAGCACACAAACGTCGAAATGGCCCAAATCAACACATGACACACCGCTTTGTGCACTGAGAGAAAAACACACACACACACACACACACATAGACGTCGCACAACGCCGCTGAACGTGACCCGCGGTGGCGAGCGCCTAAAGCGAGCATGCCGTCTTTGCACGAGTCCTGAGCTCGTTTCCCGTCGGACGCACTGGAGCCGCCGCCAGCGCCGATTTTAAAACCCCATCAGCAAAGCGTGCGTCTCCTTTTGTGTAGTGAATAATCTCGCCCGCCGACACCATTAGACGGGAGGTGCAGCGTGCGAGAGCGGCGTTTTCCAGAGCATATTTGATGCCCGCGGAAGAAGGGCCAAGCCCGCCACATCGCATATTCGGAGAGCGCAACAAAGTAGACGGAAGAACGCGGTGATTTTAATTCCCCTAAAGTATCACTCAAACAAACTTGTGATTAATTACTATTAACGTTTTTGAGAGACGGAGGGCGACGGCGTTATGAAGATTTAAGAAAACTAAAATTCCCCCTGAGATGTGTCTGTTCCGGGGAAACCAAAGAAGAAGAAGAAACGCAAGTGCTAACAAATAATTTAATCCAATGCAATAGTGCTGCAATAATTGAAGCTTTCTTTGAGGCAGGGTTGTCGCCTCGGCTCGTTGGTTATTTTTAAGAGGTGGTTTACGGTGTTATTTTACGGTTTATTGTGGTTGGTTTCTCTCCTGAAGACAAGCCGTCGAATGAACTCTTAGGTCCTTGGATTAGTTCAACTGTCCGGCAACAATGGGCTCTTTTCCAAAACGTCCAAATTATTTATAATCTTCAAATTGAGCTGCCTTATCATTTAATTTTCATCTCAGTTACTGTAGAAAAGATTTTGTTTGTGGTTTGTGCGACGTTAAGGGAGTGTGACTCTCCGGCTCTCTTGATTCCCTCAGTAAATATTTTAAACATGAGTTCATGTCTCGAACTCTAGTTGCAAGTCTTCTGTGTTCTTTTAGTAAACGATGGTCCTTTTAGAGGCCAGCAGACCGTGAAGCCGGCGATGCTTTATGGCACGGCTACCTCGTAAAAAAAAAAAAACAAGATGGCGACAACCGGAAACCAAGATGGCGACAGCCTAAATGCAAAAATTGACACAAACCAAAAGAGTGACGCGACACTGACGTGACCTGCCGGTTCGTTTCTGTCACGCGGCGAGAGAGCGGATTGTCCAGGCGATCGTTTCCGCTTGTTTCTCATTCATTTCACAGAAGGGAACAAACACATAAAATATAACTTTGCTATGTTGCTCTGGCTCGCTGGTAAAAAAACTACGTGTCACCCAGGTGCATGCTGGTCCTATACCTGGCTATGCCCTTAAGTAACCTCCAGGTGCCCACAGTATTACCCAATTAGTGGTCCAATTAACCCAACTATTAACCATACTATGCATCCCCGTTGACAAATTGACCGCAAATTGATCGCAAAAACAGAAAATACCGTATCAACCCACGAAATGCAACAATAACATTTAAGAATAAATAACTAAATAATAGCTCCCACAGTACCCTCGGGCATTCGTGGTTGTGACATCAAAAAACTACATGTTAACAACAGCATGATGTTCTTCTGAACAGAAAATATTGCATTTAAATTATGCAATGTTTGACAAACAGGAGATTGAGTTAAACTACCCACAATCATCGAATGATTCCAGACTCTGATGAACAAATAGTGTGAATTAGACTCATTTGGGGTGAAGATAAAAGACTCTCATGCCAATCATGTAATGACGTAACAGATACCAGAAGTAGAAAGAGGCCTTCAGAGCTCTGTTTTGTAGCCCTCCAGTGAGGGGAACAGCCTGAGTAACGGCTCCGTTCCTTGCTCAGCAGATAGCGTCATTAGCCTCGGAAACGTCTCCCACCACGGGACCAACTCGTCCTGTGACTCAAACTCCAGACAACTTCCCTTTCATCTCGTCCGGGTCCCCTGAGGCCAATTCGAAGCGCCAATTTTGCTCGTGTGCTGCCGCTGTAAACGGTCAGTTAAATGATTTATAATATAACTGCTTTCGGCGTCGTTTCAGATCGATTCGCATCGCTACATCTGGACGCCCCGGATCTCCTGCGGTTCCTCGTGAGTTCACCTTGAGAATCATTCTTAAAATGGCAGGAGGAGGAATGGCCACGGAGGGAATGTGCCTGTTGCAGGGCAGTGGCGGCGTAGCCCTTTGCACTTTGAAGACTTGCTTGCCACCCGGCGTCTTCGGGCTGGACGGGCCCTCAGGGGTGCAGAGTGTGAGCTCGGATATTGGAGACGCTCAGGTCGACACCTCCAGCCAGGAAGGACCTTGTGTCGAACGCGAGCGCTCTGGCTCGTCCAGAATAGAACACAGCGGGGAGGCTAAAGCGGTGATTAGCTTTAACCTCCGCCTTCCGAAGGACATTCGCTCTTCATTTTGAGTCTTTCTTTCGACACGCTTTCGGGCCGCGTTGGGGCGTTGAGCTAACGATGCTAACAATAGTCCTCCACTGTGGTTTCGCACTGAAATATGTGTTTTTGATTGGTTTGGATTATTCTCAAGCACCACTAACGGGTCGACACTTTTGGCTAATCGGGAAAACTATTGAAAGGGTCTTTGGTAATCCCTTAAATGTTCCGTTGGCGTCCACCAGGAAGTCAAACGGCCCCCTCATCTGGTTAATTATCTCAACATTTACTCTGTTGGATTGTGGGAATTTCTTTTCCCGACATTCATTCAGCTCGGTAACCTTGGTTACGGTTGATCGGCAGCCGGTCTGTGGTCTCCGCCCAACGCTATTGGGCGGATCGGAGGAAACGCAATCACCCTGATGTTCCGCTGGCATTTCACCCCGTGACCTTATCTTCAGGTCAGAATCGTACCTCGACTAAAGACGACGGCCGTCACCTTCGGGGGCCGATGTCGGTGTCCATCGACCACCCGTCACCTCAGACGCAGACACAAAAGCCTCCGTCTCCATTGTCTGGCGTCAGCTTCCTTCCACAAAGCGGAAAAAACGCCGCGGACCACTAATCATTAGCTGCGGGAGGGGACGAGGCTCAGGGCACCTTTTTCATTGGTTGTGCCACAAAGGAATCCGCGACATTACGGGCCCCATGTGAAGGATTTAGAATGGATGATCTATTAGCAGAAATGCAGTAAAGCATTCGTAACGACGTGTTTAACCACCAGCCATAAAGGACCCACGGGGCCTCCAGGAGGTTCTCAACCTGCAAGCGCCCCTCTTGTTGATTGCGTTTCACCGGCGACGGGCTGATAGAAGCTAACCGCAAGCGACTTACAACTGTGTTTGTTTGTTTATCCCCCCTGTCCCCAGGTACGACCCGGGCCCCTCGAGACGGAGAGGTCCCAGGGGTGGATTACAACTTCCTGTCGGTGGAGGACTTCCTGGAACTCGAGGACAGCGGCACACTGCTGGAAATAGGAACGTATGACGGTGAGGATCCGTACCGACGCAGGTGTGCCGATTTTCCCACGGGCACAACGAGGGTAGGGACGCGACGCGCGCGCGTCCTCCTACAGGCAGGCGGGCTGTAAGATTGTCCCTCGGTCGATTCAGATTATCCCTGTTCGCCCCGAGGGGGGGGGGGCGGTGCGTTCAGGAGACAGCCGGTCACTCCACATCTGCCCCTCTCACTCTGATTAGGACAGCGCTAAGTCTCGTACCGACACAAACCGTGCTGTGTAAACATCCGTGTGTGTGTGTGTGTGTGTGTGTGTGTGCGCGCTTTGTGTTTGCTCCAGAGCATGCGTGTGGTGCACGGCTAAGTCTAGCCCGTGCGTGTTTGTGTGTGATTGTGCGACGTTAATCTGCTTGGCACTGGTTCCGCTGTGTGTTGGCACGTTTCTGCCTTTCACGCGGGCAATGTCAAATAGCCGTCCACAGGAGCCCGTCCACAGGAGCCCGTCCACAGGAGCCCGTCCACAGGAGCCCGTCTCCATCCAGACCCCCGCAGGAGGACGACACTATTGATTCATTAATACACGGCTCGCGCGGTCTATGGATGTGCGATTGTTCAATCACATTGGCAGAGCGCTGACGGGGAACATCAACACTCGTGGCTGAATAGAAAATGTTCAGGAAGTAGTTTGGCATTTTGGAAAATATGGAAGTGATTTGCTTTGTTGCAGACAGCTGGAAGAGAAGATCAATAGCGATTACGGATTAAACGCGATGGGAGGAAACGTTGGACGAGCTGCTTGCTGGATTTTCTTGAGAAAGCTGGATTAGCTATTTCCGGTCCGAATGCTAAGCTATGCTAACAGGTTGTTACATTTAAAAGCTTTAAAACATATGGCAAACAAAGAGGACATTTAACTAATATTAAGAACATTCATTGGGATATTAACGACAATAAACAAGTAGAAAACACAGGTCAAAGAACAAAATAGCGGAAAGGTTTTAGATTCCCAGAAGGTTTCTGCCTAAACATATTTTTAAATCCCAGAACTAAACGTCTTCAAATCTCCCCAGGACAGTTTTTAGGGTCCAGCAAGGCTCCACCTCGATTAACCTTCTGGTCCCTGAACGAAACGCTTTGACTGTCAGGCTTTGTATCGACCGACAGACATCGAAGTGGCTTCAACTTCTCATGTAGACGCCTTCACCCACCTGGCGGGGTCAAGAGATCCATTTGCATCTATGCTAACAAAGGCAACGAAGCCACGATCCACTCCTTCCATTCTTTCCTTTCACAATAAACAAATACCGTATGTAAAGTACCTGTTGACCCGAGGGAGCAGAAATCCCCTCATAGGATTCCGCTGAAGTTCTAGCAGCTCTGGGACCGTTTTCCTGCAAGAATTTATTTGAACTTTTCAATTTGAACAATTGCTGAAACTGTCACAGTCTGTCACAAATCGACATCGACGTCGATATGCACAGTTTCCATGAGGAATGTTTAGCATTTTTGCGTTGCTCATTGGTCACGTCCCCGTGTGGAAAGGCCTCATCTCTGGTCAGGATTCCCTGAAGGCTCACATGCTCTGCGTGAGTCCCGCGGGGGCCACGGGGGCCTCTTTCTCTCCTATTCACAAAGAGTGAATGGGTACATTATCGTTACCATAACGATAAAGAAACGTGTTTTTTTGCTGAAACCGTATCAGTCGAAAAGAAAGCTGCTAAAACAAGCGGGGTTTTTGTGAGCCGCTCCATTGTTTAGTGCTCGGTCGGCATTCGCAGTCCAGACAATGCAGCTCAAACACCGACTGGAACTCTCCTGCTCTGCCGGCAGCTGCTCGTTTCCACCGACGACGACGCTCAGCTTCCTCGCCTCCTCCCGGCGTCTTTTCCCGCCAACCTTTACCCCCCCCCCCCCCTTTCATTTATTTTTCTTAAATCCCCTCTCCCCTCTCCCTGTCTCGTCTTGTCTCCCTCTGCGGGCTTCTCTCTCAAGCATGCTAATGTCCTCCTCGTTGCCTAGGTAACTACTACGGGACCCCCAAGCCGCCGAGGCAGCCCGTCGGCGGGACAGTGATTGCCGGCCATGCCGGCTCCCAGCAGTCCACCCCGAAGCGCACAAAGTCCTACAATGACATGCAACACGGCCGCGTAGTGCCTGCTGACCACGACGATGACGACCAGGCCTCGGAAATGAACAACAGTTTTACAGGTGAGGGGCGTCGACCTCCACGCCCCCCCCCCCCCCCCCTGGGGGGGGGGGTGGGGGTGGGTGGGGGGGGGTTTACCCACCCCCCCGCCGCTCCGTGGTGTTTGGGGGGTTCATCCTTGCTTTGTGGGTTTTTTTTTTTTCTTTTTTTTCCCCCGGAACGTCTGAACCCCGCCATCTGCCTGCGAAGAGGGGGAGGGGGGGGAGGGGGGAAAAATAGCCTTCCCTTCCCCCAACAAGGCCCGGGGTTCCTAAAGGGGTCTCCTTTTTCCCCTGGGATCTTGGCAGAAGGCCCCCCCTCACCCTCCCCCCTCCGCCCCGACACGTTTGCCCTGATGATTCAGACTGCAGAAAGGGGCAGCTGGGGGGCACAAGTTTCTGTCTCTCCTGTTCTCAAGGGATTCCCAATATCTGAGGCCCCACACAGCGGGGCAGCGACACGTTACGTTTAGCGACAGGCGCGCCACGAAGAAAACTTTTTTTAGAAATATGTTTTATTTAGTAAAATTGGGGCTGCGGCCTCTGCACAGGTTCACCCGTGCGACCCAGGGATTTTTCTCACCTCACAAATATACACACCCTGTATGAGCGAGAGGAGACAAAGGAGGGGGGTAATTACATCCCCCCCCCCCCTCCGTGAGACCTTCTCGACCGGCCCGCGAACCATTTTCTGACATGAAAACGGTCCGCGGGGAAAAAAAGGTGGGGGCCCACTGGGCTAGATGGTTTCCTTTGGTCCCTGGCCGCGGAGGAATCCCCCCCCCCCCCCCCCTCCCAGGCTGCCAGAGTGTTGAATTAGCATTTGATCAAATCCTGAAAGGCCCACTTGGCCAAGTGTTGGAGGACGGGTTTGGGAGGGGAGGGGGGGGGGGGTTGGTGGAGGCAGTTTTAGCGTGAAAGAGTCTTATGGCGGAGAGG